TTTTTATACTTTAATACGCTAAAAATAAGCTTAAATGATGTATGAATGATCAACGTGATGACTGGATGACATTCAGAAGCATTTTATAGAACCACATAGAACACAGGCCAAAAGTTACCTACACTTAGTTAAGGACTACTGAAGTTGAAAGCTGCTGGACCTATGGGAGTGGAGAAGCAACAGGTAACTGCAATACAAACAATGAGGAAGTACTTACCTATGAGTGGGATGGAAGGTACACAAGAACTCCATGGGGTGCTCACAACCGACCTGAGGAATGGTAGCTTCAATCGTGCCAATTGGTTTGAGATTAGGAAATGGTGCTTAGATATATTGCTCTCCTCCAAAATGAGGAATTTGCCTAGAGGGTACCAACATCTTTTCCAGCTCTAGCCTTGTGACTGAATTACCTACAGGTTAGGTTCTGGAAGGATCTGTAATCAGGTGACAGCTGTGGAGAATCCTCCCGTAAATACTCCCAGAGAATGAAGGGTTCAAAACAGCTTTCTTGGTTTAGGTGTGTTTTTAAAGGCTGGATAAATGAGGGTGGGAGGGTGGCAGGAAGACTGCCTTTAGTGGAAGATGTAGTGGGGTTTCAGACGGCAGTTCAAAAGCTTTCCAAATTTTTAAGAAATGCCTCACATACTTAATACCTCAGAAAACACCTATGCATCTAAATATGCCTTGGGCAAATGACAAGCTCTCTGGGTCTCCAGGTATTGTCCAACTAAGGAGATAGATTTCTCCTGAACCTTTAGGCTCATCATTCTATTAGAAATATTTACTAGACATGTTTTATTTGGAACATTTACCTGATTAGGGCAATTTGAGTCATGACTTTCATCTGTTACAGTACATTAGACCCATGGAATCTGGTTTTAAAACTAAGGTCGGAAAGGGGCGCCTGGGTGGCTCAGTTGGTTGAGCGACTGCCTTCGGCTCAGGTCATGGTCCTGGAGTCCCGGGATCGAGTCCCACATCGAGTCCCACATCAGGCTCCCTGCTCGGCAGGAAGCCTGCTTCTCACTCTCCTACTCCCCCTGCTTGTGTTCCTGCTCTCGCTATCTCTCTCTCTGTCAAGTAAATAAATAATCTTTAAAAAAAAAAAAATAGCATCTAGTCTGGAGCATATCCATCAGTAGGCACTAAACTAAGCACTTTATATATGTCATCTAATTTAATTATAACAAGAATTCTATGTGGCCATTATCCCCATTTTACTAGTGAAAAAGCCAGCACCCAAAGACAGGAAATGCCATCCTCATACAATGCATGGATACTACTGAAGAATGAAGCCCAGGCCCTTGAAGACCATGATCTCCTAGCTGTTTCAATACTGCTGCAATTAAGAAAAAGGCGGGGGGTTGGGGGGAGAGAGACAGGATGAAAAGAATTTGACAAATGGGAACTAATCCCATCAGGTTATTAAAATACAGGATTATCCTAGGATACTAGCAATAGGAAGAGCTAGATCAATTAGAATAGGTAACCTAGGGAAAGCTATAAAGAAAAACATACAATCTGTAAGTTATTGAACACTAGCCTGTGAGGGAATTTCTGCTTGTTTTATTCCTTACTGTATTTCCAAAACATCTGATAGTGTTAAGTAGAGGCATAATAAATATTTGACCAATGAGTTAATGAAGGAAACAATATGAACTTGACTTACAGCGTAGTAATGGAAGTAGAGCATAATCAATTAGGCTGCAAGAACTGCTTAGCCATTTAGGGGAATAAGTCAACTCCTTGCTTCAAACAATTCTAGATGGGAAGTTGTCAAAGAAACTCAATGTTAAGGGGAAAAAAAAAAAATCGAAGTAGATCTAAAAACAGTAAGAGATCATAGAAACCCCCTCCACAAAGGAACGCTATCCTCAACGTACTGATAAGAGCTCATATCAGTAAAACCAGTATCTCAATAGAAAAATGGGAAAAGGATATTAGACCATACACATACATTCATCCTCACAATCAGCTAAGAGCAAGTTAACTATCATCTCAGCTACCAGACTGGAAAGATAGCCTTTAAATTGGTCATACCCTTTGCCCCAGTAACATTTTCATTGTAAAGATTCATAACTTGAAGGTTAGAAAATGAAAATATTCAAACCATAAGGTTTACAAAGGATATAGAATTTCAAAAAGACCATCAATGATGCCCTACAAATAGACTCCCAAACGCAAACCAACTTAACCCACTAATGCTTTTTAATTTATTATAGTTGATACACAATGTTAGTTTCAGGTATACAACACTGACTTGACACTAACATAACTTGAAATAGGTTTTCCATACTGTCTACCTAATGCTACAATGTTGCCAAAAGACTACACACAAATCTCAAAACATTTAGAACTGTTTAAGTACTTCACTTAAAAGAATTATTTAAGAAGGCCTCTGAAATTTACTTTTTGAAAGACCTTTATGCACTACTACCTCATACACAGGAGAAATATTCCTCCCACTAATGATCTTGAAAGACCTTGGTGAAATTTACTCTTCAGTTAGGCATTACTCAGTGTCAACTCCTACTCAGATTTCACTATACTCCCCCAGTTTATTTTGGGATGGAAGGCAACACTCAGGCTTACCCTGAGCATCCTATATTTTCTGTTGCTAAATCTGGGATCTGTGGTTTTATAGTGAATTACACAATTGCAAATGCAATTTAATCGCCTCTAGCATATTACCTAATTAAAGACCTTTTTAGAAGTCTAATATGTACCGGTCTCCCACTGTATTGATTCAATAAAGTCTAGAATATTATTTGGATAGGTTGGTTCCACGCTTAGAGCATCCCTCCTGCCTTTACCTTAATATGGAATACTGGTTTAATTACTCAATAATCTCATTACTGCAAATACTTTCACCTTGCCCAGGTTAAAATAAGTTCAGTTCCCTGTAGCTTTAATGACAACAAGCAGCCATTCTCAACCTTTGTTGTACACTGGAATCACCAAGGAAGCTTTAAGACTACAACCTCAGAGACCGATTTCATTAGTTAGGGGTGCAAATTGGATGATGGGATTCTTAAGAGCTCTCCAGGTAATTCTAACACACAGCTGAAGATAGAAATCACAGGTTTTTGGTTTTTGGGGTTTTGTTTTCAAAGGAAATCCTACCAAACTCCTTAGCTGATTTTGAAACAAAAGGACCAAAACAGTAGTCCTAAAATGAAGTGTTACCAATTTAGGACAATGGTTTCATGATTTGATTCCTAAACATTCCTAACTTTGGGAAGGTGCCCTTTGTTCCAATGATACATCCACTAGTCAGTCATTAGGACTTTTATAGCCTAAAGATTGAAGCACACAGGACTATGCGACCCACCACTTCCTTCCCAAAGGTCTAAATGAACTTGAAATGCATACGAAATAGCACAATCATCCAAGAGGCCTGCCTCACTACCAAATGATAACTGGTGGGATTTTCCACTCAATTTCCATATTTCATAACCTGGCAATTAGTTTTCATTTTAAAATTCTTTAATGACCTTACAAACTGTGCTATTTATCTTGTGAGTGTACAAATAAAGGGAACGGTTTCCATTAAAAGAAAAAACTAGAGGGAAAAGAGGATTACGTTATTTTATTTCACTTTATAAGCAGTCACGGTATATCACAAGTACAGCTGATTTCATTTTTGAAAGAAGCCAATGCCAATGTCACTTAATCCATTTGAGTTCTCATTAGCACAACTCATTCCATTAAATTAAGTGTTATGGCCTCAAGATACCCTGTGGAGGATTAAAGGAATTGAAGCAACATACGTCTTCCCAAGATACTGTTGAAGTCCAGTCTGAGGTTGCTTTAATGTGGTTTCCACCTCACTCCCCAGAGGACAACGTATTCCTGGTTATTAAAAGCCAACCTGACCCATCCCCTTCTACATTTGCACCATCATGTACCAACGCCTCAGGAGCACATGGGATTAATTATCCTAACTCCCGAAGAGGGTGGTTTGTGGGTTGTTTTTTTTTTTTTTTTTTTAAGATTAGAGAGAGACAGTGAGAGAGGGAACACAGGCAGGGGGAGTGGGAGAGGGAGAAGCAGGCTTCCC